AATATTGGTGTTCCGTACATCATACTTATAGGTAATAGTACAACGCATGTTCATACATATGTTATCGTAACATTGTTTTTTTCCGTTGCAATGCACGAGCATTTACCTATATTTACATATATACTCGAACCTATGTACATGATGGTATGAAGATGCGACGAAACTTATTCGTGGATTTATTGGCGCACGAAAGAAATGAATATCAGAGATTTCTTCCTGTCGATATAAAATATTATCTTAGCCGCATCACGGAAAGATCTATACAGTAGAGCCTGTGAGCCTGCGACGTCGCGCTCTCCGTGACTGTGTTAAATTCATAAACTTTGCTTTTTGTATTAAATGTCATTTTAACGTTGGTATTTAATTTTTACAGTATTGTTATCTTATCGTGCGATCCGTGTGTTTTTAGTACAAAATGTTAGCTATCCCGTAGCAACGTACGGACACGCTCCCTAGTTATACTTAAAAATTAGGCACATGGAGAGGCACAAAGCTACGTACAAGAGAATAAAATAGTGGGTTACTTTTATTACGGGTGGTATTTTAGCCAGCATTAGCTAGCATCTTATTTATCTACGTTAGCGATTGCGCGGCCAGAAAAAAAATAAGTAAAGAAAAATTTTGTCTTTTTAATATTAGATATAGATATAGATAAAGATAAATATAAAAGCTATGTTCGCTTTGCTGAAAAGTCATGGCTAAAAGTATTGTTCATTAATTTGTTGTGAGAGAAAAACATTGTTCGTTCGCTGAAATAGTACGGCTCATAAGACAATCGAGCAGGGCCGAAGAAGATAAGTCAAAAACGTGTTTTTTTTATATATTTCGTGTGTCGTTCTTTGCATATATGCAACGTCAAAAGAACGTAGTACTCAGTTAAAAAAAAAGAACGAGAAGAAGAAGAAAGAACGTAGCCCTCCACAAGCGTGCATTAAGCATTCAAGCCTCCGGCGTCCAGCGCCGCAAAGCGCGCCAACCCTACCTATCTACCCGGCGTACCTACCTGGGTGGTATATTTTTCGTTGGTGGGTAGGATTCGTGGACAATGTGACACCACCTAGCATCCGGAGGAACTCCCGGCGTCCATTATAAAAGACTGGCCTGGGCTCAAGTCGGCATGCGCTGAAGTCATAATCATCATATCATACTTCACTATAAACAGGACTCACAAGTCACAACTCACAATGGCATACCCTACTGTCGTGCTCATCCCATTATGCGTTCCAGGCCACCTCACCTCCATGCTCGAAGCCGGCAAGCGGCTGCTCGGCAGAAGCCGCTGCCCCATGTCGCTCACCGTGCTCGTCACGCAGATGACCATGTCCGCCAACCTGATGTCCGACGTCGCCGACATCATCCGGCGGGAAGCAGACTCCGGCTTCGACATCCGCTTCGTCCACCTCCCCGCCGTGGAGCTCCCCACGGCTGAGCACGGTCTCGAGGATTTCATGATGCGCTTCATACAGCTCCACGGGACATACGTCAAGGAAGCCGTCTCCGGCATGTCGTCCCCGGTAGCCGCGGTGGTGATGGACTACTTCTGCACCACCCTCTTCGATGTCACGCGCGAGCTCGCGCTGCCGGTGTACGTCTACTTGACGTCCGGCGCGTCGATGCTCGCGCTCCTGCTGCGGTTGCCGGCGCTGGATGAGGAGATCTCCGGAGATTTCGAGGCGATAGAAGGAGCAGTTGATCTGCCCGGGATGCCGCCGGTGCCGGCTCGTCTAATGCCAACTCCCATAATGACCAAGGGTCCAAACTTCGCGTGGCTCGTGTACCACGGCAACCGCTTCATGGAGGCCGCTGGCATCATCGTCAACACGGTGGCCGAGCTGGAGCCGTCCATCCTTGCAGCCATCGCCGATGGCCTCTGCGTGCCCGGACGCCGCGCTCCGACCGTCTACCCGATCGGCCCCGTCGTGCCTGTCAAGCCGCCCGGCGACGGCGAGCAGCCACCGCTACACGAGTGCGTGAGGTGGCTCGACGCACAGCCACCAGCATCCGTCGTGCTGCTCTGCTTTGGCAGCATGGGCGGTAGCTTCCCCTCGCCTCAGGTCCGAGAGATCGCCGACGCCCTCGAGCACAGCGGGCACCGCTTCCTGTGGGTACTCCGTGGCCCGATACCCGCCGACTCCAAGTACCCAACGGATGCCAACCTCGACGAGCTGCTCCCAGAAGGGTTCTTGGAGAGGACGAAGGACAGGGGTCTCGTGTGGCCCAAGTGGGCGCCGCAGAAGGACATCCTCGCCAACCCTGCCGTCGGCGGCTTCGTGACCCACTGCGGGTGGAACTCCATCTTTGAGAGCCTGTGGCACGGCGTGCCGCTGGTGCCGTGGCCGCTGTTCGCGGAGCAGCACCTGAACGCGTTCGAGCTCGTGTCCGTGATGGGCGTCGCCGTGGCCATGCAAGTGGACAGGAAGCGCGACAACTTCGTCGAGGCAGCGGAGCTGGAGCGCGTGGTCCGGAGCCTGATGGGCGGGTCGGAGGAGGGGAGGAAGGCGCGAGAGAAGGCCACGGAGGCCAAGGCCCTGTGCCGGAAAGCCGTGGCCGACGGCGGGTCCTCGGAGGCGTCGCTGCAAAAGCTAGCGCGTGAGATTGGAGAGCACAGAGAATACCAAGCAAGAACAACGGAAGCAACGCCGCTTCCTCAACATGTTCACTACCCCGCTGCCACCCTTGGCACTGCCAGCCGTGGGTGACCTCCGATCCTGAATGATGATGCAGGCCATGCGGCTTGACTGTCACCAGGTTTCAACATGTCGTCAATCTGGCTAATGTTAGTTATGAGTGGCTCCAAATAAAAGGGGACTCGTAGGGTGGTTCTTTAGTAGGAGGCATTTGGCTGAGAGAGGTGTGTAACCGGCATTATTCAGTGTTCAAAATAAAGCACGCAGTTGTACTCCTCCGGTCCAAGGTCAATGAACCGAGGCCGCAACATGTTGTATCCATGTTTAATGATGAATGAGAACAATTGCATTGTGTTAAACTGGAATGTGAGAGGGCTAAAACGCAGTGAACCGTAGACAAGTAGTCTGTCAGAGACATGATCAGAGATCACAGAGTGACTCTGGTGTGGACGTGTGGTTGCAAGAGACCAAACTGGCAGTGATGAACGACAACATTATTTCAGAGACCCTGGGAACACAATTCGTTGGAGCGTATGCTCTGCACTACCAGCCACAAATACTTGGGGGAAGGGGTGCTCATTGCTTGTTCACTTGATCACTTGCTCTTACAGGATATACAAGTTGGACAAAGTTCAGTTACTACGACAATTAGAAACAGAGCTGATAACTCACAGTGGAGCTTCACTGGTGTGTATGGCCGGTCCGTGTTCAATCACGTAGAGAACTTGTTCGCCATCACGCCGTGCGTGCGGGCCGGCTCCTGCGGGCGGCTGACACATGTTGCCATCGATCTGCCTTCTCACGATGATGATGAATTGATGATGCGTGCTCAACTGAGTTCTCAGCTGCTGTAAATTGCAACGCTGCATGAAGTACCTCTTGGGTTTGGGGCTCTTATCCTAGTCATGTGCGTGGTGCACCAGAACCGGCAAGTTTTTGAGAAAAAATGATTTTCCTTTTTTATTTGTCAGGGAGTTAGGACTACTCTGAAACAAGCTATAGATCAGAAGAGGTAGATCCATAGATATTAAGGTTTACTCATCAGTTAAAAAAATCAGTTGTACCGATACTTTGATCAGACCAGCAATTTCGATTTCTTCCACTTGTCAACCAATAAATATGTATTGTTTCCGAGTGTCTTACTCTGAGCTGTTGCAACACCAATGCACCCTGCTTAGTGCCTTGCTACGTTTTCCCTTGCTCCATTGTGAATTCAAGCTACTTTGAAGTTGTGGCACCCATATGCTGATGGACCATACAGGAATATGAGATCAGGACTTCAGACAACAGCATCACAAGAACTCCTTCAGAAAGCTTCCGAATTGCCCGCTTCGGATACAATCGGATGTACTTTCTTTTGTTCTGGTAGCTTGAGAAAACCCAGTAACCCTCAGTAGGGGTGCGCCGCTCCTGCTTTCCTCCAAAAAAAGAAAACCCAGTAACCGGTTTCAGAACTATACATTGTTGAAAGAATTATGTGCAGATAATGCTTGAACGATTTTGTACACTAACATTGGTTGTAGTTGCCACCTTAATCTCTGTCTAGTGATATCACGAATAGATGTTACTGCCTACTGTTTACTATGCCCCTTGCTCCTGACGGATCCGATATTACAGTAGATGTTTTCAGCTTTTAGACATGACCTGAAAATAACAGTTACTCCTATATCATAAGGGTGAGTACATCAGATATTACAGTAAATGTTTTCAGCTTTTAGTCATGACCTGAAAATAACAGAACTTACCTTATATTTGATAAGTTGCCAGGAAATCATAAAAGGAAAACCATGCCGGATAAAAATACAATGTTGATTTAACTTCGTTAACCTGATTCTTGCTTCTACATGCACAGCTACAGTCATACAGGAAAACCAATTTGGTCTACAGTTTAATGTATCTCACAATCACACTACAGTCTACATCCGCCACAATTCGTGATCTTGTACCAAAAACATTCTTTTCAATTTTTAGGCGCAAAATGCCTCTAGTTTTATGTGTTTGGAAACTGGCTTTCATTTTGGGCATTAAGCAAATCAAGCCACTGTTTCCTGATACATTTTTAGCAAATAAATGAAACTTCAACTCACCATACATGCACTTGTACATATTCATTCTACTGCTTGCACTACGTACTGGTACGTACAACACTTGAGCAACAGCAGAGAGATGCTCAACCTCTCGCTCTTTCTTTATTAATTGAACGTGCTTCTTATATGATCCTCACCACAGAATACATTTATATTTATCTACCTCTTCCTTGGCTTTAACAGGAATCGTTAGTAGTTTATTTCACTCTTTCATTCGGAGTGGGGTTCACCGTGTCAGATTCTCTGAGAAGGCGACCATGGAGAATTCCAGGGGTAGCCAAACAGATCAGAGCCTGGACAGCTTGAGCTGCTGCTTGAGCAAGGGGCGGAGGTACTCATGGTACCCCTCAGGCACCACCGTCTCATTCAAAGGGTCCTTCCAAGCCTCCTCATACAGTGCCGGGTACACATTCCCGTCATACCGCCCCAGCACCGACCCCAGGTAGTGGTCTGTGTAGTTGAATGCATCCACCAGCACAACAGCATTTGGACGCACCTGTCAGAGATCATGTCCAGCACCAACTTACACTTCATATCATACAGCAATACTGCTACTAGAAGACAAACAAACACCAGCATACCTGTGCGTAAAGCTTGCCCAGCTGCTCATTTGCCAAGGCTCCCTGCTTCGGTGTGATGCACCCAGTTGCCAGGAAGTCGCCCAGGTGCTTGTGAAGAATGTAGAGGGCATAAACATTGCAAAGGTTCTGGAGCTGTTCCTTCACTCCATGTCCAGGAATGTCCTGCTGTACCTTTGCAATGAACCTAGCAGTATAACACAAGTAGAACAATAAAAGATAAAAAAAGGGTGTACCCAGTATAGAGAGCTCCCGCTCTGTGCGGGGTCTGGGGAAGGGTGTCAGTGGCAAGCCTTACCCTCGCCTGTGCAATGCGAGGAGACCACGACTCGAACCCAGGACCTTCCGGTAAGGAACAGCATACGCTTCATAAACAACATTGAATTAATACTCACTTGGTTACAATGATCAACTGGATGTGAGCTACTGCAGCCTCTAGCAAATCTGGGGACCGCTCATAGAAACCTGCAAGGCATGCGATCATCGTTAGTACAGTAGTTCCAATTTAGCAACTACAATTTGGAAAACGAAAACATAATGTGGTATTGGCTGGTTATAAATACTACCTTCTTCTTGGCTTGCTGCTTGGCCTATGTTCTGGGCACAGTTTACTGCCATCCTGAGAGCCCTGGCTTCAAACGCCTCTTGTATGGCAACAGGGTTAAGCCAGTCTTCGGCTATTGAGTCACCAAACATGAATTATTACCATCATCAATACAGGCATTATCCTCAAGAGGCCTGGAACAAATATCAAATATAACTGAGAACGAGATAATATAATGAGCCAGCCTAAATAAGTACCTGTGTTAACAGCACATTTGCATTGCATCAGATATTGTACATTGCCCATGTAAGCCATTGTACCAACAGGTTGTTTTCCAGATGCCAATTGAGATACAGTCTTCATTAGAATCCTTGCAACCTGCAGGTACCCCCAAAGGTTGCCTATCACTGTACCATTGTCCAAAATGGAGTAGAGGAAAAGCAAAAACAGCTTCTGTCTTTTTCTTTAACTAATGTGGAACACAATCTATCATGGCACACATACTCAACCAGTAACAGTAGCCAAAACTATGATTATTGGCTAATATCATCAGAAACATACAAACCTGCAAAAGCAGAACAATATTGTCTCCTTCATAAGTGCAAGCAGGAACATAGACAGCAAACAATTCAGGAAGCCCACTGCTGTTCAAGTAACCATGTCCACCACAGAGCTTTCTGCATTCTTCAATGGCATCCTGCACAAAAGACAGGACTCGCCATAAGAACAATGATTTGCCAAAAGTCCTTCATTATACATACTGACTAAACCATCACAACATGCATATGGCTTGATAATCAGACCAGAATTTCCTCCATTAAGAAATGGAGTTGAGCTTCAGGAAAACATTAGGGTCAACAGAAAATTAGCATCTAGTGACAGTCTGGGTAAATGGCCCAAGCTTATGAACTACAAATACCTATGAAAGATGAAGTGATGAAGGCAATATTCGCCCATTTAGTAGTGTGAAGACTTCTACAAACCACTTAGCCAAAGAGAGCAAATCAAAATACCCCCCATCATGTACAACCTGTAAAAATAAGAAAAGGCGATACTGAAATTAATTAATTATACGTACAGCTGTTGCAGATGTCGTCACAGCCTTCAAACCAGCAGTACAGGCATGGGCTTCTTGCAGTGTTGAGTAGTCTTTAGCTTCCAGTTTCTGAGTGACATCCATGTATAGCCACTTGAGCCAGTCACCCACGAATCTAAATGCATATGCTGAAGCCAGCAATGGAAAGAGTCTGCTTTGTTGAGTCTTGTAATCAAGGACCTGTAACCAGTTTGAATACGTTAGCCACCTTTTGTTGGTAACCAAAAGATGCAGAAATTATCCATGTTAAGCACAGGCAGAACACTGGGAAGTTGATTCAAAAAATGGTTATCGCACAGCCATTCAAAAGGGGGGGGGAGACCCAGTGCCGGAGGCTCCCACATGAGTGGGGTCTGGGGAAGGGAAAAACCGAGGCAAGCCTTCCCCCCGCAAAATCTGCGGAGAGGCTGCTTCGAACCCACGACCTGGTGACTCAGTGAGACAGCTCTCACCATCGCACAGCCATTCACAAGTATGTAAATAAATGACAATAATTGTATCATGAATGCTTCACAGGCATGTTATTTTATGAAGAATCCACAGCATATACTGAACAACTACAGAGTCAACATTGGAAACCTTAAGAGGCACTATGGATAGTTTATCCACAAAGTTGCAACATAAAAGTGAAAATCAATCAGCAACAGCTGAGCTGCTTATTGTTACGATACTGCTACTGGTATTTGAGATAACTATGAGCATATCTATAATGATATGGTGTCAACAGTCAGCAATTTATTACTAGCAACCAGATGGTGTCCGATTGCTTTGATGCCTGCCTGGGGCATATATCGCATTTATTATTTATTTTCCATTTCCACTAGTCCAGTTGAGTTGAGCAGAATAGCGTATTCAGAAATACATTGAGAGATTAATAGAGAAGATGAATAAATGGCAATACAAAAGGTTCAGTATTAGAAATTTAGAATACCTTAGTCTCAGGGCCACCATCTTGAGAGCCAAACTGCTTTCGGATGGCACTGTATCGTACAGCAATGCAAACAGCACGGGACAAAGCCTTAGAAGCATCCGCGACTATTGTCTGACGAACAAAAACCATTGTCCCATAAAGCAGCTGCTTTGGGACATCTGAATTAACATATTTCCCCTCCCTAGTAACTTGTGAAAGCCTAGAAAGAAAAGGAAACAAGTTTGAATATGGTTAGGCTGCCAAAAAAAAGGAACAGATAAAGTGATGTAATAAAGTATAATAGCCAAATGGAGGAACCTCATCAACATTTGATCCCTTGGTATGCGCACATGGTCAAATCGCAGAACACCATTGTCCATACTGTTATATGCACCGCTACCAAATTTTCCACCAATATCACCCAGGGTAACACCAGGAAGCGGGGAGTGATCCTCTAAGCTTCGCAGTTGAACAATGAAACCTGGGACAAGGACATGTATAAGCAACAAAGGAGACTAGGAGAACACTTAAATGTCACCTAAACACAAAACACTCTTACCATGTATACCATAGTCCTTTCCTTCAGTTATCAGCCGAGCATACACCACTGCATGGGTGGAAGCTTTCCCCAAGCCACCAGGCCACCACTGCCGACATGAAGATAGATGTAACGAATTGTGGACAAGATCTTAAACAAGACACAAATGGCTAAAGTAACATAAAAAGGGAAAGGAAAAAGAATAGTTTTTTTAATAAATCAATATGGAGGCAGTTGATCCACAGGACTTTACTTTGCTGGAGGTCAGAGTTGGACTGTGGATGACAAACTCATCAGTCTTTGGATCAAATGTAGCAGTTGTTTCAAGGCCCTGAACGTTTGAGCCGTGACCAAGTTCAGTCTGAGCATAGCACCCAATTATTTGGAACTTGTAAGCCATAGGCAACCACTTCTTCTGTTGCTCCTCAGTACCTTGACCTTTTATAGCAGGAACAAACATGCCCTGCAGGATGGCATAGTTTTTGTAACTTGTAAGTGAAAAATATAGATGAAGCTTATACAAAAACTATCTGTTATTCAATGGCAGGAATCTTTTTTTTTTTTCTTATTAAATGAAAGGCCCTGATTTTTACAGAAACCGAAGAACAATATGCTAAGCATCCAGCAGCACTAATTTTTACAGAAACCCAAGAACAATATGCTGAGCATCCAGCAGTATTAACTCCAGAAGACATCAGCACACAGCATGGACAACAAGGATTCGTCGTGGTATGATAAGTATGTATACTGATGCAATAAAAGTTGATAGTCATACCCAATGCAGATCAACATAACCAGGCTGATCTACGTATAGCCTCAGCATACCTGCTTCCTCCTCTGTCAATCCACAGCAATATAACACAGTAGAGCATCAGTTAAACTGTTGTATGTAGAAAAATGGCTTGATAATTCTTTGGTTGGTATTGGAATCTGCGCGACTTGGTACCTGTAAGTCGTAGTTCGACAATACGCTTCCATGCGTGGGCTGCCTTTCTTAGAGTGTCCTTAAACAAGTCCTTCCTGGAGAGCATGGTCCTGTTATCCTTGCGGAAGACCTATGTATTAAGCAGGTGGAATTGTAAGTGAACTTCTCCCAAAGAGAATTTAACTACTGTAAACTGATGCAATATCTTGTCTTGATAACCAAAGGTTGGGTGTTTATTTGGTTCAATGTTAGCCTTTTTACATTAAAAACAACCTTTAGGATAGGAACAAGGGAAACAGAAAGAATGACGGTTACAATCTTACTGTTGCTTTTTTAAAACAGAAAACAACAATATTACAATTTCTCACAAGGATAAGAGTATCCAGTTCGGAACCGGAAAGCAATCATGTATGCTAGAATAAGTCAAAACGTGGTTACTGTTTATACTTTATTATAAAACAAAAGTTTATCGGTTTGAGTCAGCATCGTGAGGTCACAGGGAAACACTGAGAAAATTGGTAGTCAGCAGTGGAGCTAAGAATATTCTAAATCCGAATAATTTAAGGAAAAAGGTGGTGAGGTGAAACGGTCAAAGCTGAATTGAGCTGGTAAACCATGGTTTGCGAAATCCGTTTACTTGTTAGTTTTTCTGCCTTGCATAGAGAGATTGCAGGAAATCAGATGCGAAAGGTGTTGCTGTTTTATACGAAGAGAAGAAAAGGAGATTGGGATTAATCCGGGGGGAGCGGAAAAGGGAAAGCATGGATTATGTGGAAGTCAACTAGCGAATGAAGCTGAGAAGTTGGGGAAGGGCAGGTCAACAGCTAGACAGATGCCGCAAGCAACCCATGGGAAGGGAAGGGGAGGGGAGGCGCATCTGATTCTGATCTATGCGAAGGAGGTGGAATTGGGGATCGGGGGAGGAGAAGGGGATCAAGGAAGCAATCACTTACAGGGTCGGACGCGACGAGTCGGGCCATGCGGTCGCCGACTTCGACGGCGTGTCGCGAGCCAGCCCACGCAACCTTCATCGCCTCGACGTCGAAGCGCGCGGCGGCCCTCTCGCCCGCGAGGTGGTCCACCTCCGCCGCTGCGTCCATGGCGATCTCTGTAGAGGTCAAAACCCAAAGCTGAAGCTCTGCGATGCCTGGCGGGGAAAGACCTCAGACGGCTCCAACTCCTCAACTACTACTCGTCCCCGTCGCCTCGCTCGATTTGGCTGCTCCAACTCCTCAACTACTACTCGTCCCCGTCGCCTCGCTCGATTTGGCTGCTTGATAAATAAAGGTAGGTGGGCGAGAAGCGCGATGTGGAAGACGGGGACTACTGCTGCTCAGGTTTTCTGAAAACACCCATATCAATCAAGGTCGGCCGTGTGGGGGTTGGTTTTCAGTTTGTTTTTCACACATTTTTTCGTTCGTTTTTTTTTCTGGATATAATAAATCAAAATGATGCCGTGTGCGTCTGCCTGTCTCCGGTTTGGTAGTTGGCCGATTTCCTCACCTTCCTTGCCGGCATTTTATTTTCCAAAATTTTCGTCTTTTTACACGCGTGCATTTGACCCTTGTGCACAATGGTCTCTTTAATGGCCCTGTTTGGATGGCGGAGGAAAACACTGTTTATGGCTAAAAACACTGTGTATGTGTATATCTTTAACGGACGCTACAGCATGCAGACATGACATACAAATGGATAAAGTAAGAACGCAAAGTACGATAATCATATAGATAAGATTGTACCCAGCGGAGGGTTTCCATGCCGAGAGCATCGGAGGCTCCATTCGCACTAGCCGACATAGTGCGTTGCTCGAAGTCGTGGACCACATTTGATACAGGACGGTGTTCGTAGTGCAGTACCACGAACGGATCACCAGGAAGAAGACGAGTTCCGCGAGGAAGAAGATGTCGAACGAGCAGTCGCGGAATCGCTCCCCAAAAACCTAATCGCCGCACACCCCGTGCAAGGTTCGCAGACGGACGAGGGTTCCAGAGGCACCTGCTCTCCCGCTTCTCCGTGCGCGCAGAGGTACGGGACGGGGAAGCCACAGGGCTACTGAGATGTGGTCTCTCTCTCGGAAGCGAAGCGGAAGAACTGGACTGACGAAGAACTACGGATTTATGGCTGCGACGGGAAGGGAGAAAGGCAGCGGAAAATCCCAGAAGACAAAGAGTTGAAGAGATGGTAACTGGCGCAATCAGTTCGCCTGCACCATCAAGGAGAGAAACTCCCGTGATTATGTGGATTAAGTGGCAAAACCTGGCCATGCCCGCCCGCCTGCCTCGGAAGGGAGAAAGGCAGTGGAGAATCCCAGAAGACGGAGAGCGGAAGAGACAATAACTGGCGCAATCAGTTCGCCTCCATCATCAGGGAGAGAAACTCCCGTGATTATGTGGATTAAGTGGCAAAACCTGGCCACGCCTCGCCCGCCCGCCTTGCCACGGCCTCGGCCTGGCCCGTGCCTGCGCCCACGGCCCGGCCCGGCCAGCGGCGGCGGCGCGTGTGTGTGTGGCACCCTTTTTTCTTTTCTCAGCTTCTCAATTAAGATGGATAATTTTCAACCATATAAGCTGAGTAAACGTTCAGTCAAAATCCTATACAGTATTAAACCATACAACGCTTAATGTTACGTACCATAGAGTTTTATTTGATTTATTAAATATTATACGGGCCAAGCCTATAATATTTCCAACAATCCCCACCAAACTCTAAGGTTTGTAACAAAGTAGTCTCAGAACCACATTTCTTTTATATACCAGTGTTTTAATGGAGACTGTTAAGTTGAACATCCATCTAGAGCAATAGTTTCACTCAGTCACAAATGAACAATGAACTAAGCCTTGAATTGACAATTTTGTGTGAGGTGAATGTCACTAAAGTCCTTAGCTAATACTAGGCTGCAAAAGACATCCCCTCTATTTGAAGCATATAAGTCATACTCCAGTGCCTTTCATGAATATTTAGAGATCACCCAAATCTCATAGACTGTGACCAGCAGTCCGACTGATATAGGTGTGTTCCTCAAAAGATGTTCTGTAGGACAACATCTTTGCTTTAGCAAGACACTTGGAATACATTAAGGTAAAAATCAACCTGCCTTACAGAAAGGAAAGATATGCATCAGAAATGAGTCTTACTAAGGATCTTTCTTCACAATTTACTACTAGCTTGTTTTACCATCCTACTTCGCGGGATCTTCGATCGGGATCACATAAAACAGATTACCACTATAGTAATTTCATGTAGGTCTCATACCCATCTCTCTCGATGCACTTTCTATCACATTACGTGATAGACCCTTAGTGAATTGATCTGCCAGATTGTTAGACGTGTGAACATAGTCCAACGCTATTACTCCGGAGTTTCTCAATTTTCTGACAGATTTTAGTCGTCTCTTAACATGCCTTGTAGACTTCATGTTATCCTTAGAACTGTTAACCTTCGTAATCATAGTCTGGTTATCGCAGTTCATAGAAATAGCCGGTATGGGTTTTTCAACAATCGGTAAATTCATAAGAAGATCACGAAGCCACTCGGCCTCAGAGCCAGCGGTGTCTAATGCTGTGAGTTCTGCTTCCATTGTAGACTTCGTTAAGATAGTCTGCTTGTAAGACTTCTAGAAAACAGCAACACCTCCAAGCGAAAACACATATCCACTTGTGGCATAAAGCTCATCAGCATCAGAGATCCAGTTGGCATCACAATAGCCTTCCAACACCTTCGGGTGTCCGGTATAACGAATACCATAGCTCATAGTGCCCTTTAGATAGCGCATCACTCTCTCAAGAGCACGCCAGTGATCATCTTCCGGGTTTGACACAAACCGTGTCAGCTTGTACACAGCAAATGAGATGTTAGGCCTTGTTGTACTAGCAAGATACATGAGCGAACCAATGATCTAGGAATATCTCAACTGATCACTTGCTATTCTCCGATTTTTCCTCAATAGCGCACTCGGATCATAAGGTGTAGGAGCAGGTGCACAGTCATTAAACCCAAAGCGACTCAGCACCTTTTTCACATAGTGGGATTGTAACAGAGTTACCCCACCATCACCTTCTCTCAGAAACTTGATATTAAGAATAACATCAACCTCTCCCAAATCTTTTATCTCAAAATTATTAGATAAAAATTCATTCACCTCCTCAATCACTTTGAGGCTGGATCCAAAGATCGGTATGTCATCAACATATAAGCACAAAATAACTCCTTCACCCCCACCATACCGATAGTACACATATTTGTCAGCTTCATTCATAACAAAGCCAGTAGATGTTAGAGTTCTGTCGAACTTTTTATGCCACTGCTTAGGAGCTTGTTTTAGGCCATATAATGACTTTAATAATTTGCACGCCTTGCCTTCTTGACCATTTGCTACAAACCTATCTGACTGATCCATATAGATCTCCTCCTCTAACTCTCTGTTTAGAAAAGCTGTCTTAACATCCATTTGATGAACGATAAGACCATAAGAGGCTACCAGGGAAAGCAAAACTCGAATTGTGGTCAATCGGGCAACCGGTGAATAAGTATCAAAGAAATCATCACCTTCCTTTTGAGTATAACCCTTGGCCACAAGTCTTGCCTTGTACCTCTCGATAGTACCATCAGGCCTAAGCTTTTTTCTTCAACACCCATTTACACCCTATAGGCTTGCACCCATAAGGGCGATCGACAATTTCTCAAGTTCCATTAGACATAACAGAATCCATCTCACTTTGTACTGCTTCCTTCCATAAGTCAGCATCAGGAGAGGAATATACTCTTCAATGGTCGTTGGTGTGTCATCCACAAGGTATACAATATAGTCATCACCAAAAGACTTTGTAGTCCTCTGTCTCTTATTTTTTCTAGTGACTATAGTGTCATCCTCCTCAGGATTTTGCATATAGGGTTACTCAGTTTGTTCTATCAAAGTAAATTTTTCATACTCATAGGGAATTATAAATTCATGACCAGTCGTGCTATGTGCATTTTTCATGAAAAACTCATTCTCAAAAAATGTAGCATCTCTAGATTCCATGATTGTATCAACAGCCATCTCAGAAATACTAGAATTTATAATTAAAAATCTATAACCCACGCTGTGAATAGCATAACCAAGAAAAACACAATCAACAGTCTTTGGTCCAAGCTTTCGCTTTTTGTTTATTGGCACATTCACCTTTGTCAAACAACCCCAAGTTCGCAGGTAAGAGAGATTTAATCTCTTCTTCTCCCATTCCTCGAGGAATGGTGTAATTTCTTTATTCTTTGTGGGCACTCTATTCAGAACATGACACGCTGTCAATATAGCCTCACCTCACCATTCCTTAGATAGTCCCGCAGTCTCTAACATGGCATTAACCAAATCAGTTAGAGTACGATTCTTTCTCTCTGCAATCCCATTGAACTGTGGTGAGTATGGTGACGTCCTCTCATGAATAATTCCATGCACTGCGCAAAACTCAGAAAAATCATTTGAGAAATATTCTCCCCCGCGATCGGACCGTAAACGCTTGATTTTCTTCTCAAGTTGATTTTCTACCTCAGCTTTATAGACTTTAAAATAATGCAACGCTTCATCTTTAGTTTTCAATAAATACACGTAGCAAAATCTAGTACAATCATCTATAAATGTGATGAAGTATCGTCTACCGTCTTTAGTCAATTAGCTATTCATTTCGTATAAATCAGAATGAACGAGTTCTAATGGTGCCAAGTTTCTCACCTCAGCAGCCTTGTGAGGCTTGCGCGGTTGCTTCGATTGCACACACACCTGGCACTTAAAATCTTTGACTAAGTTAAATTTCGGGATTAAATTCAGATTTGCAAGCCGCGTGAGATAGCCAAAATTAATGTGACAAAGTCGTGAATACCATATATTCGACTCATCCGAAACATTAATATTGTTCACTACTTTATTACACACATCATCAAACAAAGATAAGCGGACTTATTGGACTCAAGCATAATTTTAAAGCCATCGTGACACATTTGAGAACCGCTAACAAGATTCTTCTTGATGGAGGGGACATGCTGCACGTTCTTTAATAGCACCGTCTTTCTCGAAATAAACTTCAGAACGACCGTACTAGCACCAAGAACACGTGCATGCGAACCA